CTTATTACTTTTTTTTTTTTTTTTTTTTAGGAGAAGAAAAAGTGATAGGAGTCTTTTTAGCAGGATAAGGAAATATAAATCATAATACTTACCGTATTTGAATAGAAAACCACATCCATATTTAGATGCAGTTACAGAAACTGCAGAGCTTAGCAGGGCAGAACACCACAAACAAAAATCTCCAGTCTTATGGCAACAGGTACCATTTGCACAGAGCTTACTGCTCTACAGTGACCCTTTGATCTTCCCTAGGATTTTTCAAAAATGTACAATCCAATAGCATGATCAAGCTATAGTGAATCAAGCCACTTAACTGATCCAGTGCTGGAAAATTTGGAAGAGATTGCTCAGGAACTTACCTTCCCATGCTAAAAAGCTAACCCAAGAAGCAGTATTAACATGTCAATGTGGCAGCTGTCAGTACCACAAACTCCAGCTTCCTTGGTTGTGCTTAGACTTCTGCAGCAGGAGCATTTAGAAGAACACATAAGAATTCCTCCAGTTATGGAAGATTCATAGATAGCTCAATTTTATTTTATTTTTTTAAGCACGGGGATTTGGTCATAAAATTTTAAATGACAGATTCTGCCAAAAATAACATTGCATATCAACTGTACATAAACCTCAGGTACCTATATGGCCAGGTTAACAGAATTACAGAAAGAGTCTAAGTGTAGGGCCCTAGACAAAATTTTTGAAGAGGATTGCAGAAACTTAACATCATCTTATGGGGTGAAGTGAGGCAGATTTTTTTTTTTTTTCCTCTCCTTAAATGCATTATGGAACTTGTTCTCAAGAACCAGAGGAAAGTATTCTAGTTATGTTACTTTCCACATCGCAAAAGAAAAAGGAAAAGCGAGGAGAATTTTCACTGACTAAAAAAGTTAATTTCTCCTATAGCACCTATTTATTACAAAGGAATTGGGAAAAAACCCATGTAGAGAAGTATCAAGTAGAATGACTTAGGCTGAAATAGAATCAAATTATTTTTCCTTTAGAACACATTGCAATAGTAGAACAAGCATGAGATACCAGCAACACCTAACCATTCACAACACCTCATATATGTGTTTCCAGCAGTTAAATCACCAAATATAGAGTGAAAAAAAAACCCACCTGTGTTTTACTGTCATGGAAGCATCAAAGGTGATGTCCCTCTGCTTTTGCAAGCAAAACATCTGAAGTAAAGTCATGACAGACTTATGTCTACTTTTATACACAACAACTGACACAGTTGTTACAAAAATAATACATAAATCAGAGTCTTCAGCTGGCTCAAGAAAGGTTTTCTAGTTCTGGTGACCATTTTCCCTTCTGAGTTCCAGACTTCTAATTAGAGAATGAATCCTGCCCAAAATTTATGCATTTCCACAGCCTAGTGCTATTACCATCTATCCCAGAGAACCAAGAAGGCTGAAAACCTTTGAAATCAGTCAGAGTAGGAATGTGACAACAGTCATGTAAGAGAGAAGAGCTAGTTACATTTTACACCTTTCTTCCTTTAGATGCTTCCTCTTCTAAGAGGTAAATTGTAATCATATATGAGCACAGAAGTGTCAGACCTTCCAGGTGAAAAGGTACGCAATACCAAGTATCAAGCATCTCTGGAAACAGATGAAGTAAGGAAGTTGCATGAAGCAAAGCAGCAGGTGCCAACTGGACTTCAATCTGAAATGTCAGCGTTGCCCTTTTCCTTAGTGCTAAATCCACAATAAAGAAAGGGCTCCGATTCCACTTCCACTTGATTCAAAGTCAGATGAACAGTCCATCTCTTTGCAATAGTGTTATCAAAGTCAGACAGACTTATTTTGTGGATGAGACCCAAAGTGGACAGTGACTTCAGCAGTGGAAAAGCTTTCTAATTCAGAACTTATGATAATAATGTAGCCTCAGAAACGATTGCAATTCCTCTGACAAACAAAAACAGTATTCAATCCATGACTTCTTGAGTCCAAAAGGGTCAACATCTGCCAGGTCAGTTTCAGCACAAGCGGCACATCACATCACTTCTTTTGCTGCTAGTTGTCAGATGTGTGCTCAGAGAGACAATTGCAAGAAAGAGATTTCCACCCACCCCAATACACAATCACTTGAACATGAGAATGGCTGCACTACAGCGGAACAAAAGCCATATCATGACAGTCACCAACAATAAGTGCCTAGGAAAACAGGGCACAGTAATATTTCTCCAGAATATCCCCACGGCCTCAAAAAATTGCTGTTTGTGGATTCCACACAGCAAGAATTTGTCCTTGTACTTACTAACCTTAAATGTCTTCCCCATCCCAAGAATTTACCTAGCTGCATTCTGAAAGCACATGAATTTTTAGCATCAGTTCCTGCAGCAAAGAGCTCCGTGGCCTAGGTGCACATCACATGAAGGATTACCATCTATGATTAATTTTGATCTTGCCATCTTTGAGTTCTTTTGCATAGCCAAGTTTTTATATTGGAAAAAGAAGCATTCTCTACTCTCCTTTCAGACTTCTCATCTTATGGACTTCTAACACAATCTCTTCCTCTTGCATGAGGTCATCTTTTTGGCAGGCTGAAGAATGTGCCTATCCAATCAGAAGCAGTTTCTTACCTTTGATCATCTATGTTGCTCATCTTTGTACCTTTTCCTGTTCTGCTTTCTCTCTTTTCTAGGATTACTAAAATTAATTTAGGGAAAACTGTTGAAATTGTATAGTAAATAAAGTGTTCTGGAACATCAAGCACAGCATGCTTTGGAGTTTGCATATAGAATCCTTAATGTGTCCTAATCTTTAAATTTAAATCCACTAGAAAAGGGGGGGGGGCGGGGGGGAAAGAAAAGAAAAGAAAAGAAAAAAGGCAAACCAAATCTATACAAAGTAGAAAAGGAGACAAAAAAGACTAGACACTCACTGCAACAAGGCTTTTGTTTTTCTGGTTGGATCTTCTGGTCTGAAGTTTTTGTATACCTCTACTTCATGCTCTATAGAAAGCAGCTGGCTCTGGAGTTTGCTTCTGAAGCCTGGCAGGGTATCTCGAATATGATTGGTAAGTTGCTAAAAAGCAAATAAAAGTCATTTTATACCATTAATAAAGATGAAAGCAAAAGCACAACCATTTCCTTCTGACTGCCAAGCATATCAGCCATGACCTGGACTAGTTTACCAGTGTAGTTCCTTTTGATCTTTGAAGCAATGGAGACAGTTAAAAAACAATACAATATTTCTTTTGCATACCCCTTACAAGGAGGCTTGAAAAATTCCTTCATCCTCTCATTCACTGAGCCCTGTGACCACATACTTGTTTAGTTACACATGAAAGTTATACACATTACATATGTAACTTGAAATGACCTCTCAACACTCGGCACTGATGCCACCACTCCCATTTTGCTGGTTTTCCTAAGGGTGTTTCCCACTTCCCTATATACTTGTTCAGCATGACAATTAATTTACTTTACAGCCACAAGGCAATGCAGGACAAGGAAGAGATTCTGACCACCCACAGCCCATTGAGAACAGAGATGGAGGAAGTGTAGACACACAGAGTACCTACTTGGCACTCCCACCATTGGGGAAAAAATCACCTCCACATGATTTCTGTTCCCTTGTACAAAATATACTAAAAGGAAGAGATTTTACACTCATATTAATGATTATAGAACTTTACCTTTTTTAAGCACTTGATTTTTGCCTGAAAAAGGTTCTACCATTCTAGACTATCAGTTTTCATTTCTGAAAATATATTTAAAAGTATTGGAAAATACACTGAAGGAGAGTAGAAAGAGGCTTACTAGATCTGCGTTTAACTTAACTCACTCACTTTTGCATGTACATGTTGTACTGTGTTTGGACAGCATTATTAATGTTTTACCTGAGCCATAATTTTCTCATGCATTGTACCTATTCCTTGATTAAAATCAAAATGGGCTTCTTGCACTATGCTGCAAACTCTCTTTCCAACTCCAATAAGACAGGCTATAAATTAAGAATGTCATATATCAAAATAGGTAAACTCAAAATACAAGTTGTTCAGCAAACTGACAGGCACAAAAATCAAAAGCTGGAGTTTCCCTGGAGCACCACCTTGTGGCTGCCAAGAAATTGAACTCACCCAAAACACAAACACTAATAGGTCCCCAATATCGTAGGGATGAAACTTAAACAGATCTTCCCATATATAATATTCTACACACAGTAGTAGCAACAGAAGACCAACAGTTCATACTGAAATAGGTAAATTTTCGTAACAGCCTACAAAAAAGTTAATAGTACATAAAGTAACGCAAGTCAGGACAGATAAGACAGTCCAAAGGTATATGCAGCTCATGCTTCAGACTCAAAACTAAGACATGTGGAATAAACTTTCAAGATATAAAGAGGCAAAACATCTTAAACAGACAAAATTGCAGGATACAAGCAAGTTCTCGAATTCTGCTGGAGACTTTGTTTCTGAGGCACAAATAAATGGCATCAGCATTCTTTCTGAGCAAGTCCAGAGCATGCCATAACCCAGATGTCACGTTACAGCTGCAAAGTCACTGTAGCAAGAAATTAAGCAGGCCAGTCACTTCGTTTCCTACCTTAATAACTTTTCTGCTGTTTCCAGCTGCTCTCCACAATGGACAAAGCCAGGCTGACCTGGTCTTTGTCTATTCCAGACCAAAGGCTGCAATTTGACAGTGAACTGGAAAAAACACTATCAAGTTTGACTTGTAGGAATGCCAAGAATACTGGTCACTAATAAACTAAGATTAAAAAGGAAAAAAAAAAAATCATAGCATGACCAGTAATTTTAGAGAGGCAGGCATGACTTGATCTTGTTCTCTTCAAACTTGCTGAGAGGCATCACATGCCATTCAAGTTATGAGAAGAGTAATACCCAAAGACACAAAATGAAGAGAATTATATACTCCTCCAAGTCTGCTGTTGGCAGTGTCTTCATTAGGACAGTAAGCTATGGGTTTCTCCTCCAGGTAACTGGGAAACAGACCTCTATTTCCT